ACACCTGGGGAACACCCACTAGACAGAATGCAATCAGTCTAGATTGCTGGCTGGAAAGGGCCTTTAGAAAGAACAATAGCTCTTTGGAGATGCTAATCTCCCACCTTTCTGGAAAGCCTTCCTGTAGACCCTGCAAATAGACTTTGAGTTATAGCTGCAGGATCATGTCACCTGATACTGGACTCCATAATAAAATTAGTACTTTTCCACTGACCGAGGGTGAGAATCACACTGGAAGGCAAAGGATTCCCACCGTATGTAAAAGCTATTTAAGGCAGGGGAGTGACATAATCGTGGTTCGTTCTTCACTGTCTCCCCACCCAAGATGACTGCTTTAAACACCTAAGACTGAACTGGGGAAGAAATGACTGAACCCAAGCTAGAGGGTGTCTGACCTGTGAAAGAAATACCTGGAGTTTTAAGCTGCAAGCAAGAGCAGCTTGTCTTCAAGAACCTCTCCAATCTGCCTAAAAACAATATTTAGGGTGAGAATTTGCTAGTTAAAACCAGTTTCTTTAGTATATTAAGCTTAGCTTGCCTCTTTGTTTCATTTGGTAGGTAATCTGCTTTGATCTGTTTGCTATCCCTTACAATCACTTAAAATGTACCTTTCGTAGTTAATAAATTTGTTTTGTTTGGTCTTAACCCAGGGTGTAGCATTCATAACTGGTGGGAAAAAAGCTGTTACATATCGCTCACATTGAGGGAGGGAACGAACGAATTGCATAAGCTTATGCTATACAGCACAAAGCGGTGTAATTTTGGGTTTGCACTTGGGGGGGATTGTACTTGAGTATCTAGGCAGTTCCTTAACTGAAGCCTTCCCATGCAGGGGCTAGTCAGAAAGCCTGTTTGCATGTTACAACAGCTGGGTGTCCCTCTACCTGTATGTATGCTGGTGAAAGTGTGAAACCAGGAACGGGTCTGCAGCTTGTCATAGCAGAACAGTTAAAGGGAGCCCAAGCTGGTGAGTCAGGCAGGCTCAGTGGTACCCCAGTTTCAAGTGGCACCCTTGGAAAAATCTATCACACATACTAAAAATACCACAATTTCTGTCTTAATTTCCTCCCCAGGAAGTATATAAAGTGTAAAGTGTGCTATGTACTTTACGAATACAGAAACAAGGACCTCATCCCAATGATCTTTGAGACTAAAGAGACAAAACAGACAGGAGATGGAGGACTGGGATCTAGTAAGTGATGATGTTCACCATGTCATGTTTTTCCCCTCCCCACTACATCACTATATGGGTGGGGGGAAGTGAGGTATGTAGTTAATAGGCCTTGTAAGATGAAGCAAGGCAGCAATAGGGAAAAGCTTTGGCATATTTTGTGCTAGTAACAACAACAATAAAGTATGCAAGCAAAAGCTTGATTTACATATAAGCATACAATTCAATTCGTGAGATATTTGTAACTCACCCGAGACATGTATCTGCTTACTCAGGTGATAGTTAAGTGACTCTCCAAGCCCCCAGAGGAAGTCAGCTAGGATTAGATCACAGAAGGGGCTGACACTCAGGCCTGTGCATAGATCATGCCAGAAACTATGCTGAAGCTATAGGTTGGTCAGATGGCCTGTAAAGACTGCTGATGTCTACTTTACTAATAACCTGTACTCTGAAGAGATAAACTAAAAACATTTGATTACCCAGGAAAGAATTTTCTGTAGTATCTGGCTGGTGAATCCTGCCCATATGCTCAGGGTTTAGCTGATCGCCACATTTGGGGTCGGGAAGGAATTTTCCTCCAGGGCAGATTGGAAGAGGCCCTGGAGGTTTTTCGCCTTCCTCTGTAGCCTGGGGAACAGGTCACTTGCTGAAGGATTCTCTGCACCTTGAAGTCTTTAAACCATGATTCGAGGACTTCAATAGCTCAGACATAGGTGAGAGGTTTTTCGCAGGAGTGGGTGGGTGAGATTCTGTGGCCTGCGTTCTGCAGGAGGTCAGACTAGATGATCATAATGGTCCCTTCTGACCTTAGTATCTATGAAAAGTTATGCCTTTACACAGTCTATATTCGCATACTCCTGTCACCATTATCCTCTTCATAGCACTATCATACCCTCCTGTCCGTTTCTTCCTCTTGTAGCACCTTGCCTTATATTAGGCTAAACTGTCAGGCTACAGCCTGAGTCCCTATCCTGATCGGGTGCTGCAGTAATAAATTATTTTGGTTGTTGCTGCCAAAGAAAGTAGCTATAGGCACAGCTACAGAATGCTATGAAAATTCAATGGCTCAACTCACATAATATCTGAACCCTTTACACAGGGCAGCGTGAAGCTAGGATACACTAAAATATATTACACAAATTGTTTTATACTTTGAGTTACCTGGTTACGGTTGCTGGAAATATCTAAGTGAGAAAGGGAAATTCACCATAAAAAGATGGGAGGGAAGTTATCCACAGATTCCGATTAGAAGTATCATAGCTTTGCTGATCATTCAGATCCCTTTTCCCAATGAACTTTGTATTCTTGGCATGATGCCTAATATACAGATTAGTAAAAGCACAAACAGGTTTGACACTGGCCAAGAAAATACCAGCTCAAAACCGGAAAAGACTCAATTATCACAAATTGGTTGACTCCGTACTTGGGCAACACGAACGATGAGGAATATTGGTCAAGATATTGAGAATAACGTTTGTCAAGTAACTCAAGCTAACAAATCCCTAACCAATAACAGAATACATGTCTAGACTGAACACTGGAAGCAATTATATTGAAAAAAGTGTTAAACGTAAAGCTTGTAACTTGTTAGAACCAGAATTCTGGCACCCAGGCTTGTGTGTGTCTCAGGCTATCACCAATGCCTCCACAACCTGGATCCCCTTACATTGTCCTTGGTGCTGATAACACCATCAAGTTTTCTAAGCAGGAAGGCAGAACTCTGAATTTAGATCCTGGTAGCTAGCTAGGAGGAAACGGTTTTCTTTGGTCATTTTTAAGTATATATTCTGTTAAGGATTTGAGACCTTAAACAGTTCAGAGAGCATTTCTGTTCCCCTCTAAATACATAAAACAGGAATTGAAAAATTCACTTGCTGTATATACAAGTTCTGCACATCTGTATGCACCACACCTGCTTATGAGGGTTAACCCTACCCCTGCTTGTCTTCACATACCTGCTGCATCTCATCCTTAATGGGACTACTCACATGACTCAAGTTAGCAGGTGCTTAAGCTTTTGCAGAAACAGGCATTGATGGTTAAGCTCTTTGGATAGGGACTATCCATTATAAACAGGCTCTTGCACAACAGGGCCCTGACTTGGCCAAGGCCTCTATTATTACCCAATATAAATAATGAGGGTAGAGAAAAAACGAGCTCTGAGAATACACACATTTTATTCCTGCTTAAATCCATAACAACAGCAAGATTTTACCTTATCTAGCAATACTGTTATCCAGACCTTAGTATAGACACAATGTGGTTTTATGCCATTTACTTTAACCTTTATTTAGGAATCTGAGTACATCTAAAGATTTTGGAATTTGACACCTTACTGGGACAGCCAGGGAGATCAGTTCTCAGTGCAAAAAGAGAACAAAAAACTGGTTGGTGGCAAGAGGCAGAAACAGACTAAGATGATTCTTGGCCTGGGGCACTCTGTCAAAGACGCAAGGGCAGGCAGGTGCCCATTCCCAGGAGGTGATGCCAGGTGACTGTGATCACTTGAGGGCAAAGGGAACATAGTGATTAAAAAAAGTGGCAGGATCAAAGAATCTAAGACAATAAACTCCAATTTATATATATACACACCTATAACATGATTATAAGATTACAGGCAAATGACTTCAAATTTCTTCTGAAACTACACGGAGGTACAACAGTCCCCTTGAAATAATGCTCCACTTAAAGTACATCATTGCTATGAAGTAAGAGCTACATTTTGTTTTTCAAAGACAGATCAGAGCACTTGATTCACTGGACAGAGAGTTCCAGACATAAAACGGCACCGTTCTAAAGTCATTTTGTAATAAAATAGGTGCCTAGTGACAATGTTAAAGAGTTCTGACCACACAAAAAGTTAGAAAAAAAATTTAAAAAATTGTTTTTTTAATGAACTTGGAACCTCAGTACTAAATGGTTGCTTTGAAATCCCTGTTGTGCTGGAGGTTTCAGGGCTCTTGATCCAAAACAGGAATGCCAATTATAAACCTTTTTAAACAGGAGTAGCTTGACTGCTGCATTACTGGCCTATGGTACCAAAAGAAATCCTGACAAAATAAAACAATCACGGTTCATGTTCACTCCCACTCTCCTTGTCTCCACCAGCAGCAAGAACCTACATTTGTAAACCTATAGTAATTCACTTATTAAGAGGGGACCCGCAAAGGAAGATGTAAAACTTTACTTTATAAGGTAAAAAGAAGAAAGTGGAGGGAGAGGAAGAGAAGAGGACTATTTGTGTTTGCATTTAACTAGAATACTGGAAAGTTGGGGGGAAGGGGGGTGGTGCATGAAGGGACATGACTCTTTGGTAAGGTTTCCACACCCTGCCCCTTCAATTAAAGCTTAAAAGCTAAGGAAGTTTCCACATGTATATCATTCTTCCCAGAAACTCTCCAATAACAAATAGATCAATTTTTCCCAGTATCCCCTTTTTCCTCATGCAACAAGGGCCTGATTCAAAGCCCTTTGCAGCCAACAGAGCCATCCTACAGACTTCACCCAAACTCTAAGGAAGTCCACCCTCTTGGTCAGAGTAGAACTAGGCACAGTCCTAAGTTATATAACTAAGTATAATAACTGGCTGCAGGTCTAGAACAAAGTACTAACAATAAATGTCAACATTGTGAAGTTGCATTTACTATCTATTGACCTGCATTCGGTTTCTATAGTAACCAAGTGCTTCAAACACAAGTCCATAATAGGAAAGTGTAGTAAATTGAGAATTTTATTACTTGGGCCATCCTGTCCCATCCTTTCCCCACCACTCATTAAAAACAGCATTGGCGAAGCATCTCAATACTGAAAATGGGACAATCAAGCGCAATCAATTCTATACACATTTATTCAATACAATATTTGTTCATTTTCAGTGTATACAGGTTTTCTAATCCAAAAATAGATAATGCTACCCAAGAATAAAAACATTCACTTGTACCAAAAATACAAACTGGTATTTCAAAGAAAGATTTTAAGTATATCTTATACAGTCATAAAAATGGCAAATGAAGGTTAAAAATTACCAGCCAAATAAAGTTAAGATTTTTTCTGCATGTTTTCTGCACCACCACCATTTCCTTTAGGGACAGGAGGCTGTAAGCATTTACATAAACATCAGAATATGAACAAGACCCAATGCATTTTATATGAAAAATACTGTACTCTTAAAAACATGTAAGGAAAGCTAGCATTACAAGGGAACAAAAAGGAAAAACTGACATTTGAGAAGACGTAGGATATAAATTATTTCTAGAGTGTAAACTTTGCTGCTGCTTGAAAAAAAAAAATCACGAGTACTTTCATTTGGCTTAGCAGCCAGGAAAAAACAAAAGCTGCTTTTTTTTTTTTATAAAGTGCTTAACCACCATATCCAAGTGTAATGACTTTCAGACCTACTTAATTTGAATGTGCTCAAAAAGCCACTGCTTACGGTATGAAAGCTATCATTCTATAACTCTGCACATACAAACTGGTTTTATCTGCATGAATGGAAGACTGAGGGCTGTTCAAAGCAATCATATGCTGCCTCAAAATCAAAGGAATGCTATTAGGACAGCAGTTGAATAAGGCCCAGTAAGCTGAAATTTGAGCACAACAGATGTAAAAATAGCCATTTAAAACAAAGGCAATTTTCCCCTCTGCCCTATGAAGATAACTTCATCTGATAAGCAACATAAATATATTCTTCTACTATTTTGACACCTTATCTATAGCAGACCAAAGTGTCAAAAATATATTTCCTCAGACAGGAAATCCAACCCTATTTAGGCTTTCAACACAAACCAAACCAATCATTCAAGGCGATTCATGTGATTAATAGAGGGAGATACTTCCTACTCACAAAATACCAGGAAGCAGTTGTATGGATATCCAAATGTTAACACATTATGTTACTTAATATTGAGACACTATCAACTTGGTTCTCTTTTTAAACTGACAGTATGCCTTAATTTAAAATAAAAAAAAAAAAAAAAAACCACACACACAATTTAAAGTGCTTTAAGATTATTTTGCTCCCCTGCTGATGTTTGTTTGGGCAAGGGAAAAAAGTGATTAATTGGCTATGGAGGCAAAACAGTGAAACTAACTAAACACAAAAGTGCTGTCAAAAGACAAGCTAAATTAAAGAAACAAATTGCTAACTTATCAGTTGTTGAATAATCATAGGCATAACATTTTCAAAAAGAAATGTGATTTCCCAGTTGATGTGTCCCTTTAGTCTTAAAGTTGTAGTATGGGATGGGTTTAATATCAGAGTGAAGCCTCCAACCTCATTACAACCACACTGAAATTTTTCATTTTACTGTAGTAGAAAATTCAGAAAAATATAAGCCTAGGATTTATCAGCCTGGATATCCTGTATTAACACATCTTTAGAATGGTGTCCTTTCGACAGTCCCATCAACTTTAATAACAATGCTGTGACCTTTTGCTTCAGCTCTACAACTTCCTACAGAGGTTGAGTTTTTATTTTAATCTACTAAATGGACCTCATCTCCAGTAAATTTCTAGGACGTACCGATTGCAAATTTGGATAGAGTAAGTCAAAGATCCAGGCACAGCACATTCACTTTATGCCAGTTCTGAAGTTATAGAACACCTGTGCCCTAGTCACTACTAAAATATATCTTTTTCATGTAAGCCCATTTGTATCTTAAACCAGAGGAAGTTCTAATCCAAGCACAATTCAGCATCTCCAGTGACTTTTACCTCAGGTTACCATTTTAAAATATTTTTTATATATAAAAGAAATTAAACACATAAGTGAAGTAAGGGACAAACACAAAGACATCTGGCCTCACATACAGATATGCATCATACCTAAAAATAAGCCTCTAACCATTCGAAAAGCAATGACTTAGTGGTTTAAGCATGCAAGTGCCCAAATATGTGCTAATATGGTACGTTTCCTGAAATTACTATTAATGTCTAGCACTGGCAGATCTGCTGTATTCATTGCCAGAAATTTATCATTTTCCTTGCATCTCTCACTTTTTTTTTTTTTAAATAATAAAGACACCACTAAAATGAACTAAGCAGCATGACTGTGTCTATCAAGAGATGCTATGTAAGGGGGCTAGTTTTTGAAACCTGTAGTACAAGTCTACCCAAAGGTGGTAAGATGGCATTTTTACTTTGAAATGTTCTAATTCTGATACTGAATTAAACCAAAACAAATTATATTAAGCTTTGCTAGTTCATAAGAACCACATCGGAAAGATGATCACATCTCAGACTGTACTAACATGCCTGGAAATAAACACAACTGTCATACTAGATTTTTATGGAGTCAATATAGAAAATTAAATATAAAGGAAAAAACATACAGGAGAAGTACATATTCTGTTGATAAAAGGTACAAAAACCTGCAATCAAAGAATCAGAAAATAACCAGCTTCAGCACTAGTCTGGAAAGAATTAACTTATTTTTCAAATCAGAAGTCCATACTGCGTCTCATAGCCCTGCCTTGTCAAGTTTGTTAATATACCCGTTTAGGAGTCAGACAGCATTTTGTTTAACTTGTATAATGATACAGAGCAACACTAAACCGTAATTAACTCCTCTTTTGTGCGGTCCTCCTTCCACCACAATTGTACCCAATATATACCCAGTTGTGGTTTTCTGGTTTTGTGTTGCAGCTCAGCTGTACTTTTCTTGGATGTTCACAAGACTGGCATTTGATTGGATACGCTTGGCTAGAAGGAAAATAAAAATAAAAATAAAAAAAGACTCCCACCATCAGTTTCCCCACTCACTCAGTTTAACTGAGCACGTACTATTGAACAGTGTTCCGTTAACATCATGGTTTTCCTTTTCAACAGAGAAGCATGGCTAAGGACCTACTTTTCCCACCCTCTACGGCTCTTCAAGTGATAAAGGCAGTCCCCAAGAGGACAAGTAGTCAACACCAGCTCCCACCCACTGCTGCAGGCACAGTGACAGAATTGCCTGACCCCATACCAAGTACGTTGGTCAAGTAGAGTGCCCAAGATGATTCCTTGTGCTCCCGCATTCTGTAAGTAAAGTTCTGACAACATTACTTACGCAGAATGAGTATACGTTTCTTCTGCTTTGAGTGAAGGAAGCTACTAAGGTAAAAAATGACTGGTAAAAAGAGAATGAATGAAGAAACTGCAATCACTGGGACCGTATCACTGCATGGGACAGAACAGTTGAAAGTTCTACTCCAAAGCCTTCGTGTAATGTTCATCTAAAAGGAAAAACGACCATGGTGAGCAACACATTCCTTGGCTTGCATCACTGTTTTACTGAACATCGCAAAGTTCAGTATAGCAAGACCACCTAATTACCTTTAAACCATAATATCTACTTGAATAAGAGCCATTTAAAATATCTCCCCTCAAAAAATTAGACAAAGGTGAAATCCTAGCCCCACTGAAATCAATGGCAAACCTCCCATTGACTCCCACCCAATACATTTATTAGAGCAGCGATTCCCACACTGTGATTCTTAGAGCACTTACTGGTGGTTCATGGAAAGCTGGCTGATCACATGCTACTAACCCTCCTTCTTCCCAGTTGCTAAAAATCACATTGAGAGACAGCTAAATACATTAAAAACTTGCTACTATTCCCTGGCCCAATAATCAGCTGCTGTAGTTAGGAAGCAACTAACTGGAAACGTTAACTGGAATTTAGCAAGAAGGGTCAGATAAAAGCCAAAGATTAAAGGGATTTCCCAGCCCCCAAACCCCCATTTGAGATAGGGAGTGGAATATTCCCTTCACAAAATCTCTTAGACAAAAATAAAGTTCCAGCTGCCCAAGCTGAAATATGTCAGGACATCAGGGTTAGACCCCTTCCTCTTCAGGAGTGGCACAAGGTCTTTAATGACCCGCAGCAGTCAGGACCTCTATTTTACATCTCATCCAAATGAACAGCAACATCATGGAGTACCCTGGGGGCCCTGGTTCAGTATTAACTCAGAGTGCAACCTACTGGGTCACCAACACTGTTTCCTGAAGTATTTAAGTGTTCTTTAACCGTTTTCTCTCCACGTACTGACCAGAACCCAGCCTGACCCCTCCTTAGCTTGAGAGACGTGAGGAAGTCACAGCACAAAGCGGTAGGTGCAGTGTGACAATAGCTCACTAAAGAAATTGCTCATGAAAGCAGCTTCCACCGCTGAAAGGACAAGAGTGGTGCCAAGAGAAAACAATATAAAACAGTTAAGGGACCACTGAAGATTGCTCTTCAGATTTATCTACCCACCCATTGGATATTAGCTAGGCAAGAAGATCCAGAAGCAAATACGTATACTCACTGCATCTTCCACATCAATACACAAGTGTGTTCTGTGTTCTGAGTGGCTGCCCAGTCCAGTCATTTTTTGCATTTTGTTATACATGGTATTCAGGTTTCTGTAAGTTCCATTGCAGTTTCTGCATACTTCTGTGTGGTTGCTTGATACAAGACTGATGGATTGCCCCTAAAATTATAAGCAGCACGTATTTAGATTTTTAAACAATATAAAATTAACTTTAAAAAACTAGAGCTGAACTTGAACCAAAATCTACAATATTAACATCCTAAAGTGTTACACTGAAATTTAGGGATTTAGGTCCATTTTATATAAATAAAAGCTCACAGTGAATTGAAAGTTGATCTTATTTTTCCCCGAAAAGATGTATTTTGAAACTATTGACTGTCTATAACAGGGGTGGGCAAACTACCACCCGCGGGCCGGATCCGGCCCCTCGGGACTTTGGATCCGGCCTGCGGGATTGCCACCCCCATGGTGCTGCGCCACTCTGGGAAGCGGCCACACCACATCCCTGGGGCCCATAGGGGTGAGGAGGGGTAGAGAGCTCCGCACACCACTCTTGCCTGCGGGTACCTCCCCCAAAGCTCCCATTGGCCAGGAACAAGTTACTGCAGCCAATGGGAGCCTCGGGGGAGGTACCCACAGCCGAGGGAAACACATGGAGCCCTGTGTCCGCCCCAGGGGCGGCGCAGGGACATGGTGCCAGCCGCTTCCCAGAGTGGCGCAGCACTGGGCCAGGCCAGGCCGGGGCAGGCAGGGAACCTGTCCTGGCCCCGGTGTGCACCGCTGCCACCCTGGAGCCACTCTAGGTAAGCGGTGCCAGGCCGGAGCCTGAACCCCTCCCGCACCCCACACCCCCTGCCCTGAGCCGCCTCCCGCACCCCACACCCCCTGCCCTGCAAGCAATTTCCCCACCCAGATGTGGCCCTCGGGCCAAAAAGTTTGCCCACCCCGGTCTAGAATAAAAACAAAACAAGGATTGTTAATACCAAGTTTGCCTTGGAAACACAGGTGTGCTTCTCCCGCACAGCTGGCTATTTTTCATTGGTCTATATGAATATGCCACACAGGAAGGAGGAGTGAATAGGTATTTTAATTTGGCCTAATTATTTTGAGTTTCAATAGCCACTGCTCCTGTCCCGCATTTACAATCTATGTAGTAAATAGCAGCAAGAATCCGGATCATATTTTAAAACACAGTCCCTTAAAAACACTATTGGGATTTTCAAAAGAGGCTAAAGGAGTTGGGCACCCAAATACAATGGAACTGTATATCCCAGCCTATGCTGAGAGAATACAAGATCATCTCTCCTCCTATTAGGAAACCCAATGGAAGTTTGCTTAACTGTGAAATTTCATCCTTTATGGATTTCAGATAAAAAACACAGGAAAGTCACGTAGTTTTACTGTAGCAGCAGTTTCACCTCCCTGAAAATTCTGATGACCTGGGTGGGTTGTGGGGGAGGATGGGGGAAGATAATTATAAGATCTCTAGATTCTTCTGTATTTTTTTAAGCCTCGTCACGGAGGCATAATGACAGAACCCACAATAGCCAGAGTTTACAGAAGAGACCTGGCTACTATCCACCTTAAAACATCACTTTCCATCCAGCACTCAAAAAGCAAACTCTTGTATGATCAACTTCACAGGCTACCTCCAATTTCCCATTTCTGAGCCAGGGAGCTGGGAAGCTAGTGAAGGACCATCACCAACTACACCCAACCTTTGTCAGCATCCTAGATCCTTCCCAACTGGGCTTTACTCCCAGCTCTGGCTCAGCAATGGTCATGGTCACAACAGTAGATTATCTCCTCTTAGCCACAGAAAATAGGCAACCTCCACACATTTGTCTCGATCACTTCAGCCCTTGACAGTGTGGAGGGCTCACCACAGAGACCTACGAGGAACAAACAGTAATGTGCAGAGATGGCTGTGAGGAAGCACTGGGACAAATTCCACACAGCTTCATTTTCTCCCACATCCTATTCAATTATTTACAACAAGCTGTTGGGAGAGACTATACAACACCTTGACCTTAAACATCAGCAGGATGCAAATTACACCCAGCTGTTCATCTCCTTTTCATCTACCATGAAAGCCCCATATGCAGCTGTACTATTGGCAAATCAGATCAACACCTGGACGAAAGGCAACTCTCTGAAGCTAAACCTAGGCAAGATAATGGTGAGGTTGGAGGGCAGAAGGCAACATTTCCATGATTTAGCCAACTCCTTAAGATCACCCCATGGTGAAGATTGTAAAGGGGCCTTCTAGTTTTGGTCCTCCTCAATGTCTCAGCAATATTCAATACTCAAACAGCAACAGTTTTTAGGAACACCGTCAGCTAGCCAGGAGATGATGCCCCATCCTAACAGATACAGACTTGACCACGGTAATCCTTGAAATTATGATCTCCATAAAGTAGGAATGAAATTGCAGGCACTGAAGAAACTCCAGGCTACCTGCAGACCAGCACAGATCATTAAGAACACATCAATGCTGCAATCACTCCACTGGCTACCCAAGTATTACTAGATTAAGTTCATGGTCCAGGTCTTGCCTTTAAAGTGCTCTGTTGACCAGGCCCAAGGCTCTCTCCCCTTGCCAAGACCTACTATAAAGGCTGCACATCTCAGGAACCACCAACAGCGAGAACAACAGGAGACCAGTCTCTCTCAGCAACTGTTCCTTCCACAACAGTTAAGCATGAGCATAGACCATACACCCCACCCCCCAGACTGAAATGCTAAAAACATCTTTGGCGCAGCTTCTCCACCTGTCTGTGAAGCGGGGCTAGAAGACAGAACCAAAGTGAATCTTTACTACCTGCTTGGATTTATACAAAATTGTAAGACACTCAGAAACAACATAGGAGAGTGTGTTATGCTGGTCTACAACCAACTACCTTATTAAAGGAGCACAAGTCTTATTTCTAGAAGTCTATGGATTTGATCATGGCACTATACAAGTTTAAAAAATGCCCTATAAATCACTACAGTGGGGGGCAAGATCTGCCTGGCAAGCAAAAAAGCAGGAAAAGCTAGCCCACCAGTAAGGGGGGCTGCAAAGCATATTGTAACCACAGATCCTCTTCTAGATCCACATGTTTATTCTGCACCAAGAACTTTAGTTTGAATGTTATCCTTTTGGACAGTTTTTATTGATTAACTGCTTAATCAAATTTATGAATATTTTTGCATAATCTGATTTAGTTTTAGGATTAAATTTAGCATAATTTACAAAATTTTGATACATAATTATTTGGATACACTTTTCTTGGGAGATAATTACCACATTTATTTTACAAAGAGGGATATTTAATTGCAAAAGTTTTAATTGTTCATAACCTTAATGGATAGGAGTCTTAAGAAGTGTTTTCAGGTAGCTGGCCCTTTTGGACTAATCTACAATACAACCAAATAATGATATAAGGAGCCACATTGTTAAGTCACGCAATGATAACTCCAGAAGGAACTAGGAAAAGTGACTTACTGTATGCAGAGACTACGTGACTCTTACTATATAATTATCAGCTATTGTGAATCCAGAAATCCCAATATGAAATGGCACTGTAATTGCATACAAGACAGAGTCAAGGTGAGCATCAATTAAAATACATTTTGTGCTCTCAATTGTGAACATCTGCATTTTATAGATAATTGTTCTATCTGCCTAAACTGCTTCAGAATTTGTCAATTGCAGTTGCTCAATATGTATCCACTGCAGTTTGTTCTGTGAAAAGAAGATATTTTACTATACAAGAAGAGGGCTCAGTGCTGCCCTCAGATACACAGCAAAGATACCTGGAAGTTATGTTCGAAGCACATCAGTGTTGTATTGAATAAGTCCAGGAACTCTGCTGTACTATTTGATAGCCCTTCACTGTTGTTCTTCAAACAATCTGTCAAAAAGAAAAAAAAAAAATACGTGAATCAAGATATCCTTATTTCTAACCTATATCTACAGCCAACAAGTCCCTTGGCGGCCCTACAGCTTTACAGCAAGAGCTCTCAATTATAAAAACCAATTCAGTCAGCTTTGCATTTCTTATTTGGTTGCTGTTATGCAGATGTCTCAGATTTGCTATCCTAACTCACTCGGGCTTCTCTCTTCATTTAGGATACATTTCAGAATTAATTGGCCTTGATTAAATAAAAAATAAAGACCATTATCAAGAGCATTTTGAAGAAAGGATTTGAGCTCTCACTGGGCTTTCAGATAACACAAGACGCTGCTTTTACTTTTCACCCTGCAAGTCTGACTTTGCCCATCAGAACTAGTGTGCACTGTTTGAAAGTATAAGCGTCAGACATGTAGCTGAAACAAGGGACAGCTAGGAAATAGAGGGAATCTTTATGCTTATGAAAAAAAAGGAAATGCTTTTGAAAAATGCACTAAGCAGTGTCACAGAACGTGCACCAATTTTGTCAGGAAGTGGAAGCCAATTTTACCTGCCTTGCAGGGCGCTCCTGAAACACTCCTTGTCAGATACTGCTCTAGTCCCTGCAGGTATTTCTTTCCTTCCATCTACTCCACTTTTTCTATTCTGATCCATTAGACCCTTGGAAACTAGGACTGCTAGTTTTACGTAGCATTCCATTAAAAAGGACACTGTGAAGGTTGGCAGACTCCAAACGTGACCTTCCCTGAAGGATGGAAGTGAGAGAACATCTTAAGCATTACGGGATAGAGTCTATGCTCCCCTCCTGGGGGACGTAGCACAGAAGGCAGAGCCTGAGGATGGGAGGACAGTTGGAGGTTGTTTTACCTCTCCTTCACACACTTTGGTGGCAACCAGTAACATATGTTGGGGACTACTGGCCTCTGGAGCTAGCCCGAACCCAATCTCCCTGGGGCTACCTATGGGCTCTGTAGCAGCCCAACATCCTTTGCAGCACTCAGCTCTACATTACCACCCCTCCAACCTCTGGCGCCCTCCCATGCAAGGGTGCTGGAACAATTTGTATAGTGGGGGTGCTGGTCACTGAACCAAACTGTAAACCCTGGATATGATGGAAACCATTTCAAGCCAGAGGCCAGCACCCCCCACACCCTTAGTTCAAGTACCTATGTTCCCCTGGTCGGGGTACAGCTCCTGTGCCAAGGGAATTTTTCCTGTTTCCTGTGGTGGCGTTTAAGGGCCATAATGAAGCCGCATGCAACATATTACAGCCAGAACCAGTCCACAGAATTTCAGAGCCAGAGTCTGATACCCTTACTCATGTTGAATAGCATTGTGCTCCACAAGTAGTCACTCATTGGGACGTGGGGTATCAGAATCTGACCCTTACTGATTTTTTATTAAACAGTTCAAGTTACATTTTCTACTTAAGTAGGAAAAAGGGGGCATGGGGAAAATAAGAGATCTATAAATACAGCAGAGCTGTAAAAACTGATGGTTTTTACTTACTCTGAATAAACCATGCTGGAGATCTGCTACAGCTCTGCTGTATTTATAGATCTCTTATTTTCCCCATGCCCCCTTGAGTAAAGCAGCTGTCATTTTGGCAGGGGCTTTAGTGCAAGGTGAATATTCGTATGGGGACTCTAGTGTGTTTAGATAAGCAAGGGAAGAAGAAATTGATTTTTTGAATCTGTCAACTTTGAACAGTATCCCCTGTACAATAAAAGTACCCAGCATGTATCAATAAAGAGCTCTTTGTTTCTGTCAATTTAAATAACTTAATCTTATCAATGCTGTTCAGTTCTGATCAACTGAGAAATTTTAAAGGCAAGGCTAAATCTGTCGTCTGAATCATAATGGTAGCATGAAAAGGACAGAACAAATCACGTACTTGCACAGTTGGCCTTCTCCCAAGTACTGTTAAAGAACTGCGAAAGGATCACAACTAGTTGAACCCTATCAGACATCAAGAGGCTTTTTGCACAGTTGCTCTCCGAAGAATTCTGGAAGAAAAAAACCCCACAGTATGATGAATTCATATGGCAACAACTTTGGAACTATTTCAGATAACGGGTGACATGGAGGCCAAGTCTGCCATTTTAAGCGTGTTAGTTTCACCCATCAGGAGTAGTGTGGCCAGTTTTACATCCCTTGTCAGAATTCCGAGAATTTCAGAGACGAGAACTAGTCCGACAGGGCAAAGCCAGTGTCTTTCCAAACAACGGACTAAGAAAAAACGTTAAATATGATGAGAGGTATAACCACGTTGGGGATTTAGGTAAGTTCTTAAAAGGTTTAATACGAGAACAGCAGGAGCTTCAGTCAAGATAGAAAAGGAGTACTTGTGGCACCGATAGCACCATGCACACCAACAGCTTTCCAGAGCAGGGGCACTTTTCAGTACGCATGTGTACGACTAGCATAATAGACCCTGATCCCACAATGGGCCCTCTGTGTGTTCCCATAATACAGCTACAGAGTTAGATTCTATCCTGGGTTATACTGATGGAAGCTGGCATAACCCAGCATTCAGAGCTCCACAAATCCGATTGGCGCAAGGAGCCTACAACTCCTGCTTGGCTGATTTAGCACACCTGCAAGCACGACTCCTCTGGAGTCCTCAAGTTGCTCTCCCCTGGCCCTGTGTCACCGCAACTTGCCTTCCGCCAGGAGTCAATCCCTCCTAGCATGCATCTGAGCCTTCTGATACAGAGGTTGCTAACTGCAAACCCAGAGGAGCGTCAAGCCTCCAAATAGTATTTTAAAGTGTGCAAATATCTGGTTTCATGCCATTTAAAAGGAGACTCAAAATAGTGACTGGGAACATCATTTCTTGTCTCCGGCCCCCACCCCCAAACCACAGACTGACAGAATCAGCCAGGCACCCCCAGGCTGATTTTCCAGCCGCAACAGAACAGATCTCACCCCGAGCGGCTTTTGTCCAAAACCAGATTAAGCACAAAGACTGGTCTGGCATATAGAGTACAAGCTCTGGTGAGGGTCAGTAAGACTACCAAACATTTGCTGATGAAAATAAGGTTTTTAATTAGCTATAGTGAGGTTGGGGTAGAAGATCAATAATTTATTACTCACCCAACCCTAGCCAAGACACCATTTCCATATAACTAACAGCTGGATACACAGAGATACAGGTTGATTAAAGTACTAAAACACACTGACAATGGAAGATCCATGTTTAACGAGTGAAACACGTTCTTTTGTTCTGAGTGACAACTACCCTCCCCACTAGCCTCCGTACCCCATAGACCTTGAGCTGTGGGTACATCTACACAGCATTCTGGAGCCTGTGTCAACAGACCTAGCCTTGTGTTAGTGCTCTAAAAACAGCTGCGGAGACAGCGCTTTGAAGTCACGGCTCAGGCTGGAGCTTGGGCTCCGAAGCCCACCCCCATCCCGAGGCTTCAAAGCCAGAGTTGCAACTTCAAAGCGCTGTCAACACAGCTATGATCTCAGCACCAGCCCCTCTAGCCGAAGTCTGTCAATCTAGACTGGGAGGCTTGGTCCCGCAGGCTCCAAAAGGCTGGGTAGACATACCCAGAGAGACGGATTGTTCTCTCGGCCCTAGAGGATATTCTGTGGCGCTCAGAGTTCCCAAGCAACTCCAGCTAAGAATTATGGAACTTCTCAGCCCTGGTTCAGCACAGCCAGCTAGCAGAGGGAGCATGGACATGTCTGCTACCCTGTTTTGGGGGTAGGGAGCCTTGCAGAATTTGGGATGTAAAAGCCTCTACCAAGCAGGCCCCTGAAGAGGGAGGGAGAAGAGGGGCAGCCACCTGGGACCCTCTAGTAGCCTAGGAGAAAGAGGGGAGCACCTTCCCCAACCCCACCAGGAGATGTTTAAGGATTAGAGACCCTGCAGTTTCCCTTGCTGTGCTATCAAACTATGTCCACAAAAGCTCAAACAAAGCCCTGTTTAAGAGAGTCTGAGGTTCAGTGGGACTATTTCACTCAGCTCTAGCAGGTACAATGTCAGCCACAAGAGCACAAGTTACTGTCTCATCACAGCCTGTCTGCCTCAACCCTGAACTGGATAAGCCACCTGCAGGAGAGGTTAGCTCACCGGCAGCCCAGCAAGAGATGAAACATCCCTACACGAACTAGCTTTCATGCAGGCCAAACAGACATCTGATGGCAGTTGCTTTCACACACTACTAACCTGAAACTGAGTCAAACCCATAACCAAGGAATCCTCTCTCTGCCTTTCCCATCAAATTCTCCCAAACACATACAAGCTAGTTAGCTACGAATGCCATGAGAAGACAGCCCCTGGAAGGACAGCCTCATGATATCTGCAATAAGAGATGCCAATCCTATTATTATTTGTTTAAGGCCCACCACCTGCTTAGGTCTGTGCAAGTCACAAAGACTGCCCCTGCCCAGGTATTTACACTCAAGCTTTTCTGGGTAGCTGGTTCACGAATCAGTTCAGAGCCACACACAACCATATAGATACATGGTGTGGAAAGGTTATTTGGGAAAAGTTAGAACAGGGATAATCAATTATTTTTTGTCAAGGTCCAAATTTCGTGGTCAGGGTATAGTCAAGGTCCAGGCTCTAGGGAAGAAAATAAAATGGAAAAAAAAAATTGATACTAAATAAGAAAATAAAGATTTTGGGGTCTGTTCCAAAGCATCTGGCGGTCCAGAGTCCCCTTATTGACTGCCCCTGAGCTAGAACAACATAAACAGTGTCAGGAAAAGGCTTTAGCCTTAAATTGACTAACTCTGAGAGAAAAAGGCAAAGCTCTACACAGCTGAGCACAGAGTGATGAGGTATCCCTTGTAATCCGACACCGAGTTTAAACATAGTTAGTCACTGGCCTTTGGCTAATGAGTTGTTTTGTTTTTTTCCCACCCTTTCATACAAGAACAGATTTTCCACCTGAAAAAAACATGTACACTACGTACTTCCTCTTCTCTTTTCCTCGTTGTTTTATTTCCAGAATATGAACAAGAGTTGACTTTTTGGCCTAGAAAAGCTACAACGTGCCTCTTGTGATATAGTGGATCCATCTACCACCCAGGCTCATATCACAGACAGCTGACGTCCTTTTTGTGAGTCATGACAAACTATCTATGGCTACAGCAAGCAAAGATTTTATTGCTATTAATAGCAAATTCCTTTTCTTCCTCTCTACCATGATTTGATACCTAAGTATCCAATATATTCAGGGATCACAGTGGAAAGAGATAGTGGCGGAATTCCTGTGACAATGCAGTCTGGGTGTGAGCTTAGTACCAAAGAAGTAGGGTGAAGTGAATGGGAAAGAAGTGTAGGAATAACTGTTAAGTTAGGAGTCTTTACTGCAAAAGAAGTCTAGTCAGAATCTTTAGTATTTTTTCCCTTTTTCAAAACCAGTTTTCTTTCAACCCCATGGTTCTCAAACTGTGATCTCTGGAGAGCTAACTGGACACATGGCTCTGGCTCCTGCTTCCCAGCTGCTAAGTTGATTTAGATACTGCCATAAAGTTGTTGTTCATGGCAAGCAATTGTTGTAGTTGACAGAGACATGTCAAGTGGTCATGAATGGAATGGGACATGTAACACAAGAGTCTCTACTGAAATGTGGTGTTCCCTACAAAAGTTTGGGAGAGATCTATTTCCCTATGTATTCTATTTTTTTCCCCTGTTAAAATGGAAGATTTGTTAAATGGTTAAGGATCATCAGAACTTCCATTACTGCTACTTCTGGTAACTTCTACGGGGAACTGTCATATGCACACACACACACAAACCTACCAAGCTAGTGGCTCTCAACCTTTCCAGATTACTGTACCCCTTTCAGCCTGATTTGTCTTGTGTACCCCAAGTTTCACCTCACTTAAAAACTACCTGCTTACAAAATCAGACATAAAAAACACAAGTGTGTCAAAGCACACTATTACTGAAAAACAAGTCACCATCCGTATGAAATTTTAGTTTGTACTGACTTCACTAGTGCTTTTTATGTAGCCTGTTGTAAAAGTAGGCAAATATCTAAACGAGTTGATGTACCCCCGGCAGAACTCAGAGATAAGTGTACGCCTGGTTGAGAACCACTGTACTAGGTGATGTACATACCTGGACGAAAGCAGAAAAGACCTAGCAAATGCTGAGGAAGTGTAAACAGCAGGGGCCTACTACCTTCCGGGAGGGTTCCTTAAAAGTTGAACTTCCAAATCCATGGGAGACTTAGCTTTGGGGAAAAGGTTTAAAATCACTGATACTAACAAAAATTAAGTTACCAAGATTCACAGAATTAAACTGGGCTTCTTTTTCCCCCTGACTTCTCACATCAGTTGATGACAACTGATTGAAGGGATGACAAAGTTCTAAACATCAGATTTAAAATATTTTGACTTTCTGCAGCCACTGGTTCAAATTTCAGCAGGATCATCTCACTCCTTTAATTCTTCTTAAAGAGCGAAACTGAGTACCATGCAGTTCGTTACATTTGGATCTTTCAGAGGACACTCAATTAGCCCCAAATAGTCTGCAGATAGATAAAAACATGATCCTAGCTGGTGTACCTGTACTGTCGGAGTTAGGGCTTATCCTGGCACCCAACCTTTACCCAGAAGAGTTGTGCAGCTGGTTGACTGACTAATGGCTAGGGAGCAGTGACTTAGTGGAGTTGCAGGTATAGAATCTGTAAGGCATTTGAGGCCCTCCACTATCAGCATTCCCATATAAAAATGATAGTATTGGTCATTAGATTTCCCATCTTTAAACTCCACATTTTCAGAGATGTGTCAAATTTGTACAAGTTGATACACTATCGGAGTTAAAGAACGCTTTGCAAGATGCAGGACTATTAACATCCTTTGGTTGTGAACAAATGTCCAGCTTTAAGAAACCACACACACAACATTAGTAAGATGGCGAATGCAACTGGAAGAACTGGCCTAAGTTACATCAACACCACTGATGGTGTGCAGCCATTATTGACAAGTCAGGTTTGCTATTGGATATTTTTCCATTGGCAAGCAAGATCTTTTGCTTCAGATGCAGACCATGCTACATGCCTTCACACCCTGAGATAAGACTCCTGCACTTTACTTGGGCTACACCACAAGATGACTATTTTAGAAGCTGAAGCCAATCCACAATATGGCAGCTTGCTTATTAAGAGGAGCTTTACAGTGCTCCACCAAGCTGCAGTTGCGTATGCACTTCTTGGTGGAATTAAAGGTGTAGGTAATGACTTTGAGAGCCAAAGAAGTGGTTTGAGTCCAGGTTACCGGAAACCCACTGCTTTGTTCATGCCATATTGCCACTAGTGGCAACATTCAGAGCCCAGATCTGTTAACTTCCAAACATACTGCAATACTCATCTTTTTTCTTGCCCTTCTGTAAGGGGAAGACAGGAGAGTTTAGCAGAATTATTGAGTTTGGGAGCTAGATCAGATTGTAAATTTTACGTATACTAAGGGAAAGGGAGGGCACATACTATTTCTTGTACAAAATCAAAATAAGTAAGCTTTAATACACAACCTAATACTGAAAGCAAAAGTATTCACAGTCAGGAAAGACACACAAACAAGCAATACAACCCCACAATATGATGCACAGAGAAGAAACAGGCATCTCCTTTCAGACACGAGAACTCAGTCCTACATAGGAGGAGAGCAATGGGCATAAAGCTTACAAGAGCAAAACACTTTAAGCAGCAATGACTTATGTCTAAGAGAGCTCCTAGGCATTCGTGAGAAGCCGATGGCCCAGCTAGTTATGAATCCCTAAATTCTAGAACACCCTGATCTTTAAGGATCAAATATTTTCTAAATATGTGACAGGGCAAATAAGTAGTGGATGTTGTTTTGCTATTTTATTGTGTGCATGTGGCCTGAAGTCATTAATCATATACAGCAGATTGGGCATTTCCCGAGAACGGTCAATATCAATGAGTAATCAGGCAGTGCAAGTTAGTGCTCCAAGTGCTATTTCCCTGCATAGAATACAAGTCTGATAACACTAAAAGGTCTGTGCCTCCATTTTGCTCGACACCACGAGTTCCTCTTTTCAGTCACACGCGATTCCATTAATAAGTCTGCCAGGAACACTCACTCCGATGGGAAGGAGCATCCATTCGACACCTCTTCTGCTGGGGAGTCATTTGCAAAGGGATACCCAGGAAGCCCCTTTATCCTCCCTCCCTTATTTCCACACCGTCACAGGCCGGCCGGTCTCCCAGCTGGCCTGGCGAAGGCGGCAAGGGACTGCCCCACCCTGCCTCTCTCCAACAGCTTGGGGGAGGCCACCTCCAGCTGGGGCTTGGCTAAGCCGCACCCCAAGGCGGCTTGTGGGTCAGACCCCCCACACACACACACGCGCGCACGGGCCCTCCTGCGAGACCCTTCCCCGCACGCACCCCCACGGCCCGGGTGATGTTCTCCAGCTGCTCCGTGACGCTCTGGAAGTGGCGGTAGCAGCTCCGGCAGAGGCGCACGGGCCGGGCGCTCCGCACCAGGCAGCCGGCGAGCCGCACGCTGCTGTTGGCGAAGCCCACCAGGAGCTCCCGGCACTCGGGCGGCAGCTGCCCGGGGAGCCCCGTCTCTAGCAGGGCCAGCGACAGGTCCTCGGCCTCCTCCAGCAGCTCCAGGGACAGCAGCCGGCGCCCGCCCCCGCGCGCCCACCCCTTCGGGCCGCTCTGCGGCGGGGGGCGGCGGCCGGAGCCCAGGCTCTGCCCCGCGCTCAGGCCGGGCACCAGCAGCAGACACAGCAGGCGCGCGGCCGGGCCCATGGCTGCCGGCAGCCGCGGCTCCTGGGAGCGATTTAGCGAACCAGGGTCACGTGGAGCCCGGAGAGATGTCAACGTTCGGAGCTGGGTCAGACGAGCCACCTTATTGGCTGGTGGGGGTTCGACTCCGGGTGGAGGGGCGGGGCTGCCGGGCCGGGGGTGTGGCCTGGCAAGGTGGGACGCGCTGTGTTCAGGCCAGGCCCAGGCGGGCACTTACGCTGGCTGGTGGGGAAGCGGGCCGGGCTTCCCGTCCTGGAGAGCGGGGCCTTGCCTGCTAATGCACAGCACAGAGGAAAAGGGTCTCCAGGGAAAGGTGCCTGACGCCAGGAGGAAAACACACACACACACACACACCCCCGCTGCTGGGCCTGGCACTCTGTCCCGGAGCTAATTATCACAGACCTCTGGCCAATTTCAGAACTAATGTGAATCTCACTTCTTCAGCATAACTTTCCATCAATAAGCATTAAGTACCACATATCAACCAGTCCAACTTTCCCCTCTAGGCCAGGCAGGACGAGAGAGAGATATCGTCATTTCTCTTTTTGTTAAAACATGGTGGGAGGCATTCACCGACCATGGTGCTAGGGACCAGAGAAAAACACTTGGGCCTTGCCCACATTAGGATTTTGCTGTTTTTCCTGTAATCAATGGCCAGGCGCTGATTAGTTAAAGCATTGCAAAGCCATGTCTACACTACAAACTTTGGTCCACACAAGTTATGGCAGCATAAAGCTGCCAAAGTTAGTCTATTACTCGTGCACATGCATACTTTGCAGCTTGCATGCACACAGCCTTTTGGCAAATTTTCATAATGTGTGCATTGTGGGATAAAAACAAAAAGAACAGGAGTACTTGTGGCACCTTAGAGACTAGGTAACAAGTGGTCACAAGGCCATCATACACCTTTCTCCATTGCATAATGCCATCCATATGCTATCATTTTCCTGTTTTTTTTAAATCACACAAACCCACATGGCACTTGTCGCTTCCCACCATCTCCCACAGAAGCACAGAGCCTGCACAGCTCTCTACTAGTGTCATAAACGTTGCAAACACAAGATGAACTATCCTTCAGCATTTGCGGAGCCACAGGAAGAAACACAACGATGGGGGACCTGATGAGTTCTTCTAAGACAGATTGCTAAAGGACATAGCCCAGGGGCGGGCAAACTTTTTGGCCTAAGGGCTGTATCAGGTTTCCAAAATTGTATGGAGGGCCGGTTAGGGGAGGCTGTGTCTCCCCAAACAGCCAGGCATGGCCCGGCCCCCACCTCCTATCTGACCCCCCCCTGCTTCTTGCTCCCTGACAGCCCCCTGGGGAGTCCTGCCCCATCCAACCCCCCCGTTCCCTGACGGCCCCCTTGGGACTCCTGCCCCATCCACCATCCCCTGCTCCCCGCCCCCTGACCACCCCCAGACCCCACACCCCTGACTTCCCCCTGCTGCCCCATCCAACCCCCCCCCATTTCTGGCTGCCCCCCCCGACCCCTGCACCATCAAACCCCTCTGTTCCCTGCCCTCTGACCGCCCCGACCCCTATCCATACCCCCACCCCCTGATCACCACCCCAAACTCCCCTGCCCCCTATCCAAACCCCACTGCTCCTTGCCCCCTTACCGTGCTGCCTGGAGCACCGGTGGCAGGTGGCTACAGCGGGTCAGACCGCGGCTCTGCAACTGCGCTGCCCAGCCACCGGGGCGTTGCGCCGGCAGCGCCATGAGCTGAGCCTGCAGGGGAGGGGGAAGAGCGGGGGCGGGGCCGGGGACTAGCCTCCCGGGACAGGAGCTATGGGGCCGGGCAGGAGGGTCCCGCGGGCCGGATGTGGCCTGCAGGCCATAGTTTGCCCACCCCTGACATAGCAAAAAATAATTCGAGGTTGGTGGTAGTGTTCACTGAGCAGCAGCAGACAGTGGAGCACCGCCCTTCGGCCCAAGAAACAAGCACGGACTGGAGGGATCGCATCATAATGCAAGTTTGGGTTGATGAGCAGTGGCTGCAGAACTTTCGCATGCAAAAGGCAACATTCCTGGATCTGTGTGCGGAGCTTGCCCCAGCCCTCCAGTGCAGGCACACCAGAATGAAAGCTGCACTGACAGAGCGTGGCAATTGTACTGTTGAAGGTTGCAATGCTGGATTGCTACCGGTCAATGGGAAATCATTTGGGAGTTGGAAAATCCACAGTGGGGGGCTAATGTCATGCAAGTGTGTAGGGCCATTAATCATCTCCAGCTAAACAGGACTCTGATTCTTGGCAACGTGCAGGACAGAGTGGATGGATTTGCTGCAGTGGGATTCCAGAACTGTGGTGGGGTGAAAGACGGCACACACATCCCATATTGGCACTAGCCCGCCATCCCACAGAATACATCAACAAAACGGACTACCTTTCTTTGGTTATGCAAGCACTGATGGATCACCGGGGACTCTTCACTGACATCAGTGTGGGCTGGGCAGGGAAGGCTCATGCATGCTCATCTTTAAGAACACAGGACTATTCAGAAAGCTGCGAACAGGGTCATTCTTTCCTGACTGGCGGATTACCATTGGTAATATGGAAACACCACTCATGATCCTGGGGGACCTACCCTATCTGTTCCTCCTCTGGTTCATGAAGCCGTATACTGGCCACCTTGACAACACCAACAAAAGATTCAACCACTGGCTAAGCAAGTGCAGAAAGACAGTTGAATGTGCTTTCAGTAGATTGAAGGGATACTGATGGTCTTTACTCACAAGACTGGATCTCAGTGATAAAATATATCACACTGGTTATAACAGCCTGTTGTGTCCTTCATAATATCTTTGAGGCAATGGAACAGGTAGAGCATCTGTCTGCTGATTTTGAACAGCCAGACACAAGGACCATTACAAGACCTCAGCACAAACCTGTGCAGCAGAGGGCAGCCATGAAGGTGCATTTTAATGGTCAGCCACCTTAACGTGGTGTGATGTACTGTGCTCTAGCTGGCTCTGAAGTTCTGGGGGCTGTTAGGAATTGTGTAGTGCTTGGTGTACATGTATGAGTAGCACACTGTCCTTTAATGAACCAATGAATTATGCAACACTTGCTGTACATTTATAATGATTACACGGTGTGGTTCACTGAACCTCTGAGTTCTGCAGTCCTGTACAATTACCAGTAGTGGGTGTTTTGAGTAGCTCTGGGCATTCTGCAGTATATATTGTGAAGTAATGGAGATGAATTTGTTTTCAAAAAATAGAAATGTATCATGTCGCAAAAATTGTGCAAAAAAAAATCAATATGCAATTAAAAAAAAACAGTATAGTACAAACTTCTAAAATAAGTTAATGGAACAGAAGTTTAAAATTAGAAAGGTAGAAAACATTCCTGTCCATTTCGGTCCATTTTAGCTACACATACAGCGACCATGACTCTCACACGTCAGAGTATGTGATGCTGTGGTTGTCCTTACTGTCCCCCAGCATGGAGCGGTAATATAGGGAGATACTAAACGAGAGTTCTCCAGTGACTGCAAAGGCATGATTGTTGGAGCTGTAGGTAACAAGAATCTGCAGCATTTATGTTTGATGTGTGAGAAACCTCATTATGTCCTGGTGCAAGTCTCTCTCCTTGTCCTGCTCAGACTCCTGGGCCTTTCTTCATGCTGTCTGCCATATTTAGCCTCCAGGCCCTTTGTTCACGGTCCGATGCAGCACTGGCTTGTTGAATATCACAGAACATGTCCTTCCCAGTCCACTTCTTTCTCCTCCTCCTCAGGGTCAGGCGTACCACACGTGTGGAAGGGGGCACCCCTCCAGATCACAAACAGACAGTTGTATGATTGGATTTACCCTGTTAGGGTCAACATAGGTCACACAGTGTCTATGCTCATACTGTGTCAACCTCTGTAGGTCAACCATAATTCAACACCGTTTGGGGAGGTGGTTTTATTTTGTTGCCGCAATGGGACACTTATGTTGGCTGGAGACAAATTTGAATGTAGACACATACGCAAATAGGCTTATGCCAAGGCAATTTACACCAATCTAACTTTGCAGTGTAGACCAGGCCTGAACTGCAAGTTGCAGCTTTCCTTGTCTACATTTGCAGCCTTTGTAGTGATGCAGCTACACCAGTGGTTGGCCATTAATTGCTGGAAGCAAGGTAAATTCCCCATGTAGACCTGGTCTTATACAGCTCCTTGAACATGCCTTTCTTCCCTCCTTGCTTAATGGCAGCCCTGACTGGGGACAGTTCACACATATGGGAGATTGCAGGCTCTGCTGGCAACCTTCTTCCTCTCTCGTTAATCCAAAAATTTCCCTTCTCTTGCAGCACTCAGCTCAGCCTCAGATGGAATCTCTTGGTGTCTCTTCCTAGGTAGCATGTAACTTTTGAGTGGTTGGGGAATGGAAGCCAAAAATAAATAATAAAGAAGAAAGAAAGAACAAATGAAAGAGAAAATAAACAGGAAAGAAGGAGAGAATGTACACAAGGGGCTAGCTGCCTGTCCATCCTAAGTGAGCAAAAACGGTTAGGAACCACTGCTGCCAGAGCTTCCATTTCTTCCTGGGGACTGGATGGTCCATTTGGTGTCTCCCAAATCTAATTTCTATGCATAGGAAGTAGCCAGTGTGTATATGCTTCAGTGGGTGGGCCAGGTCGGTGGCTGCACTCTTCCCCTACTCCCATACGCACAGTCCTTGCTAGGGTGATGTTGACAGAGCCCTATAGAGCTGTGCATCTTAGGGTTAACACCTCATTGAGGGAAATGCATGAACAGCTGACTCCCTCAAAACTATTGTTCCAAATTGTCTGCAGACTCAAGCAGAGAGCGGCAACACTCAGTTCATGTTTTCAAGCTTTTCTTCACAATCATGAAGGCTAGGATCTTCCCTTACTTCTTAGAAAATGAAAACTGAGATTCTGCTGTAATCACATGACTCCAGGAGCTGGGGCCCTATGACCTGATGTTCCTATACCTTAATCCAGCCCTGGATCTCAGACATGATGGTGATGAGTGCCATCGGACATATAAAGAAGTGACAAAATATACTCTGTCAGTGAGCTAGCTATTGTT